GCCGCTGTGTTAGCGGAGCGCTGTGGAGGCGGAGCAGAGGCACGAGGCTGTGGTGCCATAGATAGTGTCTTATGTAAGCACCAAGAGTTCCCCCTCCCGCGCTGGGAGTGCTCTGGGGCACCAGGGATGCTGCAGTGAGGATAAGCTGCACAGGACCAGCCTCTCTCTTCCCCTCTGGCCAGGCCTGGCCATGTGGGGCTCAGCTGCAGCCAGGGGGTAGCTCCTGCTCTAGCAGTGGAAGTGGCACCGAGCTGCAGCAGCATCAAGATCCTCTTGCTCCCGTTGTAGGCAGATGATGAGCACTACATCCCCCGGGCTGTGCTGCTGGACCTGGAGCCCCGTGTCATCCACTCCATCCTCAACTCCCCTTACGCCAACCTTTACAACCCAGAAAACATCTACCTGTCCGAGCATGGAGGGGGAGCTGGCAACAACTGGGCCAGTGGCTTCTCGCAGGTACCAGCTCTAGTGCTGCTGGGTGAGACACAGGGCAGCTCTTCAGCTCTGGGGCTTTGTCCTGGCTCCCTCATGTCAGCTCAGTCCCAGTTTGTGAAGAACAGCTCGTCACTGGCAGGGACTGATGTCTCTGGGACTGTGTTCCTGAGCCCTGTGGTACCCTGGGAACAGGACCACACTGCCAGTCTGACTTGACTTCACAGCAAGCTTGAGCAGCTCTTCTCTATGTTCTGTGGGAAAGGAGCTAAACCAGTCCTGATCTCTCTTGCAGGGAGAAAAGATCCATGAAGATATTTTTGACATAATAGACAGAGAGGCTGATGGGAGTGACAGTTTGGAAGTAAGTAAACAAGGGACTTGGATCCAGTGGCCCTGCCTGGTGTTTTCCCAGCTTGGTTGCTCTTTGTAAGGTTGAGCTCAGCACTCCAATGGGCACAGACTTGCTCAGTGAGCTTCTGGGACTGAGCACAGGACATGTAGAGAGGGGATCTAGGGACAGGAGGTCTGTCCATCCCCACTCCACCTGCCAGCCTGCCCCAGAAGTTCTTTCACTGTTGGCTTGTGGAGCATTTTTCTTTACACTGTCTGTGTGAACCCATACCCTGTGTGCAGACAGGGCTGCTGGGTGCTCCTGTCAGGCTGTGACATGGCAGCAGGGGAAGGGAGACCATCACCAGAACAAGATGGCACAAGATTGGAGTGCCTGTTGTGGGAGCTGAGCTGGAGTCAGGCAGTGGGAGCTTGGCCTCGGTCATTCTAGAGGGAGAGAGGGGTGTGAAGGACCCAGGAAAGGGCTGAGAATGTGCAGTTCCATTTCCTGTGACTGACTGGACCCTGGAGGTGACATTGGAGCTATTCCAATCCTGTTCTGGGTGGGAGGAATCCTGAGCTCCCGAGCAGCTGTTGCCCTTTGTGGGGTGTGTAGAGATGCAGATCCCACGGTGTGGGCAGGAGTGGCCTGAGGAGCTGTGGCTGCTGCTGGGGTCAGTCTCTGCTGCATCCGTGCTCCCAGCAGCCACGAGGAGCTCTGACCTTGTCTGGCAGGTCTCTGCTGGAGGTAGTGAGGGTGACACATTGTCTGTCTGCTCTGGGGCTGAGCTTCACCTTCAGCACCTGCCTTCTGCTTCCTTCCAGGGATTTGTGCTTTGCCACTCTATTGCTGGTGGAACAGGCTCTGGGCTGGGCTCGTACCTTCTGGAGAGACTGAATGACAGGTGAGCACAGCCCTGTCCCCTTCCCACACTGCAGTGCCTGGCCCAGCCTGGGCAGCCTGCCTGGAGCGGGAGCGCTGACTCAGAGCCACCACCCCCACCCAAACACTGCCTTGTGCAATCCCTGGCATGCTGCCTGCAGAAGGCTGACTCCTGATACGCCTGGGGACTTCAGAGGCTCTGAAACTGGACTCCTTCTGTCCAAGCTCTGCCATCCCTCAGATGTTCTTATCAGGCAGCTGCCTGTGGACACCCTGACAGTGCAGGGGAGGGTGGGAGGCTCTGGTTGAAGGCTGTGAGTTGCCATCCTGGCCTGTTTCAGCTTGCATCCTCTTGAAAAGACTTGTGAGCAGCTGCTTAATCAGCCTGTGGATGGCTCAGCCTCCCTGTAGCTCCTCTGGCAGCCTTGTGCTGCTGGGGTAGGCATTGCTGGGACACATTCTCTCCCTCCCTGGGAGCCACTCTGGCTGCAGCTTTGGTGACTCACCCTGTCCTGAGCCCTGGAGACTGCTAAGGCAGCTTGTGGGAGGGGAGAGTGCAGCTTGATGCTGTTAACCCTTGAGATGCTGCCCTTCTCACTAGGTATCCAAAGAAACTGGTGGAGACCTACTCGGTGTTCCCAAACCAGGATGAGATGAGCGATGTTGTAGTCCAGCCATACAACTCTCTGCTGACACTGAAGAGGCTGACCCAGAATGCTGACTGTGTGGTAAGAGGCCTGTGGTGCAGCCAGTCCTGAGGAGTCGTCCTTGTCCCCACAGCTCAGATCTGGGGCCCATCCTGGGGCCAGCACAGTGACAGCACCGTGTGCCTGTGAGCCCCAGGTGCAGCAATGAGTGCACCCCGAACAGAAGGGCCAAGCAGATGTGGCCCCCAGGACCCCCACTGGTGCTAACCCCTGCAGAGCTGCCTGGCATTTCTGCCTTGGTGGTTCTTCCCAAGGCAGTGAGGACTAGCTGTGCTTCCTCTGTGGAGCTGTGCTGCAGCCCCTGCCTGAATGCAACACCTGTGTCATTTGCAGCACCCACAGGGTCCCCAGCCAGGCAGCGCCTTCAGCCAGGTCTGCCCGAGACACTGCTCGTCCCCTGCAGCTGCACCCTGCATGTGGCAGTGGAGGAGCAGTTGCACTGGAGCTGCTGCAGCTGACACTGCTGCAGTGCTGACCCAGGGGCAGAGCTCTTTGGGAGAGCTGGGGAGCACAGCCAGGAGGGAGGGAAGAGGTTCCATTGACGGTGTCAGTTACGTGCCACAGATGAGTCAGCTTATGGTTTCAAGTGTCTGCCACTTGTACAGATGGCTCCACTCAGGCCCTGTGCTGGACCACCAGTGCCCTGGGACACATGGCCAGGACTGCCCTTCCTCAGCTGCCTCAGGGGCCCTTCACAGAGCCAGGTTTCTCTTGCAGGTGGTTCTGGACAACACAGCCTTGAATCGGATCGCAACAGACCGGCTGCACATTCAGAACCCATCATTCTCACAGATCAACCAGCTGGTGAGGACTTGTCCCTCAGGAGAAGCCAGCATGGGGTTTCCCTGCTGTGTTCAGTTTAGTCTGAACCTGCTTCATGGGCTGGGCTCAGGGGTGGGCAGCCTGGAGCTGTGAGGGTCCTGTGCCCTTCCAGGCACCCCAGCTTCCCTTGGCATGTCTGAGGCAGGTTTGACATGCTCTGCAACCCTCTGCTGACCCTGTCCTCTCCCCTAGGTCTCCACCATCATGTCTGCCAGCACCACCACGCTCAGGTATCCCGGGTACATGAACAACGACCTCATCGGGCTGATCGCCTCGCTCATCCCCACGCCCCGGCTGCACTTCCTCATGACGGGGTACACGCCACTCACCACCGACCAGTCGGTAAGGCAGCCCCAGGCTCTCCTTCCCATCCCCAAGGGCAGAGAAGCTGCCACACTCACCTTGCAGCATCTGTTAGCCCCGTCTTGGTGTGAGCTGTCACTGCACGTCCCAAATCCCAGCCCACGTGCTCACACCATGTGACTGCTGCATGTGCAATGAATCAGACATGAGCAGGGAGCTGTGCTTGTGCCAGGCTACCTGCTGCACGCATCAGGGCGGCTGTCAAGATCATCGTGGTCAGGACTGGCAAAAGCCACCCTTAGCAATGATGAGAGCAAGGCCAGGAGAGTGGTTCTGCCGTTCCTGTGAGCCATTGGCTTCGACAATTTGGATCCAAACCCTAATGCTCGTTGTCACTGATGGTGGGCTACAGGTGTCAGCCCTTTCCTGAAACTCAGTCTGTGTCTGAGAGTGAATCTGCTGCTCCTCTGCACTACAAGTGCTGCTTCTTGCCTTTGGCTTGTCCCTAACTGGTGTCCCCCAGCCTCCTGGTGCCAGTGGGGCAGTTCTGTTTCGGGAGGTGCTCACCTGCACTGGCCCACCGCGGTCCGGAAGGAACTAACAGCTGCTCTTCTCCTCTCCCTCTGTGCATTTCCTCAGGATGTTTCTCAGAGAAGCAAATCTGAAAAACTGCTGGCTCTGAAAAGGGTATCAGTGTGTGATCTGTCCTCCGAGGGAGGAGTGCGGGCAGGGCTCAGCCAATGGCTCAACCAGTGCAGGAGGGACTGCCACCTCAGCCAGCTGTCCCTGCTGTGGGCAGTCTGGGTGCTGGCCCTGGCTGTGAACCCCCCTGGCCAGTAACAGCTGGGCAAAGCCCCAACAGCACTCAGGGAGGGCAGTGGCCAGGCTGCCCATGGCTCAGAGCTGGGCAAGGCAGGGAGGGCATGGAGTGGGGAACAAGTCCTTTCCTGTTGAACCCCCGTTGCTCCCTGCCTGGCAGTGGGACAGGATTTATGTTTGACAATGACAACATAAAACAGGTCCCTCTGTTTTCAGCTGAGCTTCACCCCCAGCCCCTGCTGTGCTGCAGGGTGGGGACCAGACAGCTCCCAAGCTGGAGCCTTTACTGACACTCTGTTTCTTGGCCTGGCTGTGCCTGTTGTGTGGTGCTGGGATTTCTTTTGTCTTGCATGCGGCTTTGCATGTGACTCTATCCTCAGGGTGAGGGCATCTCTGTCCAGCTGCCCCCTGCTCCTGTGTGTGTGTGTAGCAGGCAGCAGGAGAGCAGGAGCAGCACACCTACTCCCTCTGACCCCTGGCTGGCCTGTGCAGGTGGCCAGCGTGAGGAAAACCACAGTCCTGGATGTGATGAGAAGGCTGCTGCAGCCTAAAAACGTGATGGTGTCCACAGGGCGAGATAGGCAGACCAACCACTGCTACATCGCCATCCTCAACATCATCCAGGGAGAGGTGGATCCTACACAGGTGAGTTCCTCTGGCTGTTCAGGTACTGATGGCCATGGTGTGGCCCAGGGAAGAGCATGGTCACTGTCTGTGCAAGGATCCTGGGGTGAGACTTAGGCAGTGTCTGAGAGCTGGCTTCAGATTGCTCCTGTTTGGGCTTTGGCCTCATGGAAAGGCTACAGTCATGCTGAAATCCACCTTCCCATGGCTGTATCTCTTGCAGCTCCTGGGTCTGCTGCAGCCAAGCTGTTTGTCCCTCAACTTGGTGCCCCTTGCTGTTCTCATCCCACCAGGTTCACAAGAGTCTGCAGCGGATCCGGGAGAGGAAGTTGGCCAACTTCATCCCCTGGGGCCCTGCCAGCATCCAGGTGGCTTTGTCCCGCAAGTCCCCTTACCTGCCATCCGCTCACCGTGTCAGTGGGCTCATGATGGCAAACCACACCAACATCTCCTCGGTGAGTGCCTTTCCTCACCACGCCGGGCTCTGCAGCCCCAGACCTCGTGTCTCTTCAGTCTGGGCCTGTCACAAAGCCAGGGACGGGGTGGGTGGCTCCCAGCAGGGCTCAGGTCTGGTCTAGGGTCCTCTCCTCAGTCCTGCTGGCCGAGGTGCCCTTCTCTTGGGAAGGGTCCCTGGGGAGCTGTGGCCCCCCTGACCCTGCGCCGCTCTCCAGCTGTTTGAGCGGACGTGCCGGCAGTACGACAAACTGCGCAAGCGAGAGGCCTTCCTGGAGCAGTTCCGCAAGGAGGACATCTTCAAGGACAACTTCGACGAGCTGGACAACTCCCGGGAGATCGTGCAGCAGCTGATCGATGAGTATCACGCAGCCACACGCCCTGACTACATCTCCTGGGGCACGCAGGAACAGTGAGTGCCACGCCGGGAGACGGGAAGGTCCCATGGCCACCCCCACGCACGCCGGCAGGGCTCGTCTCGGCCGTGCCCACGTTTCTCACCCCTCAGCGCTGCCTGGCGCGGCAGAGCCCTCTGTGGAAGGCCCTCTGTGGGGAGCCTGCAGCTCCTCAGCGGGGGACAGCCCCCGCCCCACCGTGTGCCCTGGCCCAGGACAGGACTGGGGCAGCTGCGCGCTCTGCTGGGAGGGAACCTCTGCCTGTGGGAGCAAAACTTGCTGTAAGGAGGAGGAGAGTGACCCTGGGGCTGGGAACAGGCCTGGCCCCCTGAGTTGGGTGCACACAACCCCCGTGGCCAAAGGCTCCGTGTGGCTGAGCTAGTCCTTGCCCTGGGCAGGAGCCTTGTTCCTTCTTGGCCAGATCAGGCCTGGGGCACGGGCTGTATCTATATTTTTGTAGGTTATTTTGCTTTAATAAAGGCCATTCCTGCACTGATGCTGCCTGCATGACTCCAGATTGAGCAGCCAGGCAGGGAAGCCAGATGCAGAGACTAGGGCCTTGTCTGGCTGGCCAGCTGGCCCCATGGCACAGGAGCACCATGGCCACTGCTCATCAGCACGTCCTGGGGTGTGCAGGGCCAGCTCTGCCCCAGCGGGCAGTGCCACGGGGCCCAGGCAGCACTGGGCAACTGCTGCAGCAGAGCCAGAAATACTGGCAGGACCTGACCAGGCTGACCAGGGCTGGGACCGGCACCGCCCTGCCCGCAGAGCACACAGCACCCACATGGATCTTCTGCAGGAGTGAGGCCCTGTGCAGGGGTGGGCCGTGAGAGCCTGGGGGTGCTCTCACCACTCAGGATCTGAGGCAGGGGACATGGGCTTGAGTCCGTACAGTGTCAGGGGATATGGACACAGCAGCTCTGGTTCTGACCTGTGGCAGTTGGGCTGTAAGCTGGGGACAAGGGGCAGTGCTGGCGCCATCCCAAGCCCAGGTAACCCACGGTGAAAATTAGCATCTTCCTCTTAGCCTTCAGGGCACAGAGCAGACGACCAAAAATACAGCCACCGTGGCAGCAGGAGCTCCCACGCCCTCTTTGGCAGCAGCGCCCGTGGCTGGGGCAGTTCCCCCCGCCGGGGCAGCCAGTGCCAGGGGCTGCCGGGGAGCTGGAGCTGCCTGTGCTCTTGGTGAAATGCCAAAGGTCGCCTGGCAGTGACCAGAGGGACAGCAGTCCCTGCCCCCAAGGACACGCTGTGCTGCTCCTCCCCGCTGCCTGTCCCAGGCCCTGCTGCCCTGGCTGCCCCAGGGATCCGACTGTCCCAGCCTCCCGCTGTCAGCCCACGCTCCAGGACAGCAGGCCCAGCCTTTCCTTTGTGCATTTATTTAGAAAAACAACCAACCAACCCCCCCCATCCCAAGACAGAACCAACAAACTCTACAGAGGCAATACTGAGGGGCTGAGCCCCAGCCGTACCAGCTGCCACTCCACCAGCCACCCCTGTGACATAAACCTGGCCACAGGGACACCTCAGAGCCCAGCCACTCGTGCAGGAGGAGCCCGCGGGTCCCCGGGGCAGCTTGGCCAAAAGCCGCCCGCAGCTTTCCCGAAGGGGTGGGTCCAGAGGACGGACAGACAGATGATGGCACAGCACTACTGCCTGGTACCCTCTGCTCTGGGCAAAGCCCCCGGGGCACGAGCAGAGTGGCCAGGCAACACAAGTGCTGCAGGCAAAGGCACCAGGGTATAGGGGACGGGGACAGGCCTGGGGGCAGTGAAGGGAACCGCAGCGGGGCGGCCCCGCTGCCCACCAGGGAAAGTGCTGGGAGACATGGGGCACGCAGGCGTCTCAAAATAAATTAAGGAATAGCCAGAAAGGCAATGGCAGTGGGGGGAGCACCACCCCCTGGCCCCCTGCTCTCTGGAGCAGCTGGGGGCCAGCACAGACCTGCCACTCGCTGCCAGGCTTGGCTGCCCTCCCACGCCGGCCATTGGAGCACCTGCGTGGCCACATCAGCTGCTGGGCTAGCTGTGGGAGGAACCCACTGGGGGCTGGTGCTGCCAGGGCCCGGCTGCAGGGCAGAGCCCCTGGGGCAGCACAGTGGGCTCCGAGGTGGGGCGACCGGTGGGAGGCTCCTGGGGCCGGGGCAGCCGCTGGGCACCCGCAGAGGCGAGGTACGTGTTGAGGAGCTGGGCGATCTCATCCACCTGCAGGTAGAGGGGGCACGGGGTCAGTCTGGGGCAGCCTTGGTGAGAGGGGACGATGGAGGGATGGCAGCCCCTTACCTGGGAGGTCTCAAAGAGCAGGTCTCGATCCTCCACGGAGAGGCGGAAGGTGCTGCTGTCAAAGGCACCGAAGGAGGAGATGCGGCCATAGCAGAAGCTGTCCAAGGGCTCGGGC